TTTATTTTATATATTTTTTTTAATATATATATATTAAAAAAAAACAAACCCAAACATTTCCCCAATTGCATTTTATAGGAGGAAAATGAGAAGAAGAGTCACCACAAGGACCACTCAGATAATGAATCCACATCTTCTGATAAGTAAGTGTGGTATAACTGTGATAATTCTGTAGTTGGTTTCTTGTGGGTTTTTTACATCATTTCCATGTTCACATTAACCTATTACGTTTTTTATATTTGCAGCTCTGGGAGGAGGAGAAGAGGACCTTTTAAAACAATCAAGTTTGGGACCAACATTGACCTGTCAGATGACAAAAAGTAAGTTGATTATGGTTTCTCCTGCTCACAGTAGTATTCTACGGTATGGTACCCCTTCTGGAAAACCAGTGCATTCTCCTCAGACATCAGTCAGTCTGTTGATAAACTCAAGTTGCACACCCCATTTCCACACTTAAATTGTTACCTTTGGTCTTTTAACTGTTGTTAAGAGTCCATCTCATCCTGAAATCTCTTTTCAAGCTTTTATTTCCAGGATCTTTATTTTTCCAGAAATTAAATGAACTGAAACATCCATCAGAAGCTATTCTTTCTAGTCCTTCTTCTAAGACATTCCCTTTGTTTCATTCTGAGGCTTTAAATTGTTTGCTTGCAACTTTAATTACTTCTGACAATACCAAGGGTTCAGTCTTTGCACAGAAATTGTAAGATTAAAGGTTTTTTCTTTTTTGGTTGTCTGGATTTTTGTTACTTGGTTTTGTTTCCTTTTGTTCCTACTGTCATCCTTTCTGGGGGGAATAAATTGTGTATTCTTTAGACTACATATCTTTCTGTGAGTAGATGAAGGTAGCTCAGAAAAACATCAGAAAGTATTAGAAGTACTCTGAAGGCATTTTTTTTTTTCCCAGTAATAATTTTTTATTTGGCTCAATCTGTAGTTAATATATATTTTTCTATAAAAGATACAGCATGTCTAGGCTGTCAGTCCTGCCAGCTGCAGTACAAAAATTCTGATGTACTTCAATCATTAGAACAGAAGAAAAGTTACGGTGTTTGAGTAATACGGCGCGCTTAAGATGCTGAGGTCTTTTGTGGTGTAGTCACTGAAGGATCAATGTGTGTGCATAATGTATGTGATTATTAGAGATTGTTACAAAATTTTAAATAATGATGCTGTGTTCTTCCAAAGAAAATTCCATCTGTAGATACAAAACTGTTGCTAATAGACTAGCACTCAGAGCAAACCCTTGGTAGAGAGACTTTAAATTAACCTAAGCGTAACTAACCTGAGGCTCGTAGGGAATTGGATTTTGGTACTTTAAATAGTTCTTGTAGGATCCCAGGTAGATGCCTGATCTTCTGATCTATAGTCTCAGCTTTTGCTACAAAACTGTTCTGGGATTTTTATGTTTGAAGATCTGCGTTTTTCTTAATGCAAGTATTCAGTTCATAGCACATCCGTGTAGTTAACTTCATTCATGGTCACAGCAATTGTCTGCACAGGCTAGGGTATGTTTAGACAGTCTTCTGGACATATGTTGTCGCATCATATCATTTGGCTTTTGAAAGCATGGTTAACGGTTTCTGACTGGCTTAGAGTATGAGGAGAGCACAACTCTGTTTTCACTTGGAAAATATATACACAGAGGTGTAAATTGCAAGCAGAATTCTCTGGCAGTATAGCAGCAGTCTGGCTAACTGCAAGAGTGAGTCCGGTCACCCTGGCTTTTAGCTCACCCTTAAACAAAATTGTCATTTAAGTTTCTGTAACTGTCAAGTAAGGATGTTGCATTATCTCAGCTGCGCTTTTAAGAGATGCTAAGTTATATAGAAGTAGGTTGTCTGCTCTTTTATCTCCTATGCTAACAGTTTTTTTGAAAATGTTTATATTTCTCAAACTCTTCGAAGAGTTTTAGGGATTCACAGTTTGTTGATTTGCTATTTTGCTGCAGGTGGAAGTTGCAACTCCATGAACTGACAAAACTTCCTGCTT